TCCGAAAATCTGGAATCCTAAATCAGTAGACGAAACTGATGATTTATGAAGCTTGTAGTAAATAGAGACACAAATCAAATTGCTTGAACATGAGCATAATAACACCTATGTAAATGCAGACTCGATATCAAACAAACCGTATGGCAGATAATTACTTTTACTTAACTTCTCTCTTTGCTGTGTGTTCTCTCTCTCAAATACCTGTCTTTCTTTTAATTCTCTAATATCTTTTCTTTTCTTTTTTCTTTTTCCTCTCTTATCCTCATTTATTCCAACTCTACTTTACTTTGAAAATATGTACTATCTCATCTGTCTTCTCTTTCTTGTAATTTATCTTTACTTTTGACCGTCTACTCTACTCTACTCTACTCTACTCTACTCTACTCTACTCTACTCTACTCTACTCTACTCTACTCTACTCTACTCTACTCCACTCCACTCCACTCCACCCCACTCCACTCCACTCCACTCCACTCCACTCTACTCTACTCTACTCTACTCTACTCTACTCTACTCTACTCTACTCTACTCTACTCTACTCTACTCTACTCTACTCTACTCTACTCTACTCTACTCTACTCTACTCTACTCTACACTACTCTACACTGCACTACACTACACTACACTACACTACACTAAATTACATTACACCACACTTCCCCATTGTGTTTACTGGTATTGCGAGTTAGCATACACATCAACACCATCAGAACTACACAGATGGTCGCACATTATCTCGAGCTCCATATTTGAATGGTCTGTGTAAAATAGAATAAAAAAAATCTCCAAAATTTTAATTTTGATAAGTTTGTATATGTAGTGTTATTCCCTATATTTCGTTACAGTAGCAAACTGGGTCATTAATTAATTAATTTATTTTAGTGAAGGGTTGGTTATAATGTATGTAAAACATTTAGATGACATTCACTACATGAACCAATTGTAGTGTTAGCATTAATTGAGCCTCGTTTTGATGATTACTATATAATGCAATGTCATTGATACTAGAGTGAATCAATTACAAAATTATTATTTGGATTAAATCATGTGACTTTTGTTTTATGAATTCATTGATTGATGTTGAAGTAAATTTAGGTAGATGCACATGGTCAATGTTTAATGACCAATTTGTCCCTTTAATAAACATTCATTAGAATGCTTATCACGAATGATTTGTCATTGAATGCCATATTGCACAAATGATTCGTTGATTTGAAATCCTTTTTCATCGCGTTTTCATTGAACATCATTGGATTAGTATTCAAGTAAATCATTGAATAACACAACAAATACGAATGCATTTTATTGAATATTATTAGACCATGTGATCAGGTAATTGTTTCAAGCAAAATCATTGCTATTTTTCATTAGAAAAGTTTTGGTGCCATTGAGGTAGAAAGGCTAGGTGTTTTTTTTTATTCAACTGAATCAAACTATAGTGTAGAGATTTGTTTCGTGTGAATAATGTTTGGTGTTTTAATTCGGCCTGGCTCACCCTCCAAGGTAGGGATTACTATAGCAACCATTCCCCACGATTTTATCATATTCAAATGATTTAACACACCGTTTTTTATACTTCACTCACAATTCACGACATAGATATTATGATTGGTATTCTCTATCTTGGATTAGCTGCTTAATTTACATATACCACACCTCTTTATATAGACAATCATAATCAGTCGCTAAGGCGATAGGCAAGTGATGGTATTTTTGCAACACAGCATATACGCCGAGCTAGGGAATAAAACTATTTTAAATAACTCATGCCTGTAGATTTTGTTTTACTTTGCATTTTTTTTGTCTGAACTTCTATTGTTTTGAAATGCCAACGACTGTATAGTAAGTACTAGTATGTCTTTTGTAAACATTTATTTTGCAGCTATAAACAAAGCAGATTTGCTATTTTATAAAAACAAATGTGTTGTGCTTCAGTTTGTGTGTCGTTGAGGGCGCTGAGTATTAAACCAGGGTGGTGGTGATGAAGTGGTATTTCTTTTACTCCGGATGCCAGAAATTCATATGCTAGGTCATAAGCATAGTCCCATTTTCACCACTGTGAAAACTATCTGTTGATATTGATGGGGGTGGTGGATTGACGAACATTTCAACGACTGAGGGCAGTATTGCATTAGCTAACTAAATACGTAACAGATGTAGAATTCCGTGTTAAAATAGTTTTCAGGTGTGATCCTGATAGAAGTAAACACGGAAACAATAATGGAATACAAAACTGAGTACGAAGAAAGCCTATGTCGATACAGCACTCAAATGTATCCGTAATTGGATTATTCACTAGTGTGATGGTGCTGTTTCGGGTTCTATGTTGAACCCTTCATCAGTCGGACAGTACTTGACCGAATCGTTCGATTAAATTAGCTTTCAGAATGTTCGACGTTATTACTTTCATTATACATTTAGTTAAAATGGAAAGTAAT